CAGACAGACAATAGTCAATCAGTATGTTTTCACGATAGCACGGTGTTGTTTTGGTCTTGTGTGTTAAGGAATAATAAGGCTGAAACTCATGTTTCGTTCAAATGGTTGTTTCACAAAGAAATACATTGGAATACTATATAGTACGTTATAGTCTTAACTCTTATTATTACGGATGATAAACACCTGAAATAGACGTCAATAGCAAGCCCCTATTTCTCAAGGCCGCTGGAGTTTTTTTTAGCTCTCGAATGTTCAAGGTGAATTCTAATGAACTCTTTTAAAAATCGATCCGTGTTAGTCTTACCTATATCAAAAATAAAAAAAAAATACTTACTAAAATACTTACTTACGTAAAAATACTTACTACTTAGAAAGCCATTAAAATCTTCATTCTTATATTTATAGCGATCTAAATTGATGAATCATGTATGGGGCTTAGGGTTAAAAACCAGATCCGCGAAGCCCCTGCATCTCTAAGAAACCTTTTAAGTTAACATATATATTGTAGCGACGAGAAAACTGGGACAGGGAATAATTTAGCACAAAAGGATCCAACTTAAAAGTAGACAATGAACGAAAGCTACTCTGGCCCGCTTAACATTAGGGCAATGCATACTGATGTCAATTATAAGAGTATTCTACTTATTGGCAATCTTTAAAGTATGAAAGATTTTTTTTTAAATTTTAAAAAACGTTTTTTTTTAAATAAGCCACTTTTATCCTAGCGGACATAATTAGCGCATTGGCTAGTACAAACAAGACAATGTCTTGTTGTTGCAAAACGTTGTTTGCAATCACAAGATTTCCAACACCGCACGCATATAGTCGGGTAAAATAGGTCGAAATTTAAGGTGTCCACTCTATCGAATGCATCATAAAACAATGTATATTAAATTACAACACCTTCCATTTCTTGAATTCAAGTCGTAAGACCCTGATAAGTGTAGAAGGCCTTTTTACACAGTTCGAAATTTAACCAAACTGGTTCATAATGTTACAACGCTTTCTTATGACTAACAAAATTCAATCTAGCCTTAAAACCACAACACTTGGAAAAAACGGCCAAATTTTGAAGTATGGTATGAGCTATAATGTTTGAGGTCTTTTAAAAATCAATATGTTTAGTCTTGCAGCTAAAAAAAAAAAGACCGCTTTGAAGCTTTCCTATTACTCTTGTGTTTGGATTTGCTGCCTTCGAGTGTGGTCTGCTGTGTCGTTCGGATGAAGGGGTGACCTCGTGAGAGCGGATGAGCCATGCGCCGAAGTGTTTGATATTTTCGTCTTCTCGTCCCCATCTTTTTCGTTGTCATTGAGAGTGAATTAGCATCTCGCATGAGTCTAGATCTGGTTTACAACCCTCGAGGCTTTTCGAATCTTTGCCTGCGAAATATTCGATGGCTTTGGTTATTTTAAAGGGTAAACCGTGAAATAAGGAGGCGCCAAGATGTGACGATCGACCGTAGGATGATGTTGCCTAACACGAAATGAGTCCTCCTGTATACGATTTTTCTTTTCGATGAACTTTCCAGATGGGCTTTGGCTTAATTTTTTTGTTTTTGCTTTTTTGCTGCTAATAAAATTAACTTGAACAGAATTTTTTGCTTACTCATGACTTACGATGAAACTAAATAGTAAAGCTGGAACAAAATACTATAAGACAAAAATCCATGTTTCCTTGTATTAGCCAAGTTACATTACTGTAAGTTCTCTTCTATGGGTATCTATCTATTTTTATTAGTGACGCTGAAAACGAAATCGTTTCCTTTGTTTGAGCGCCAAAATTAACGGCGAATAGTATAAATTTAGAGGGTGAGGTTCGGTTCCCTCTGCGGCGTTTCCTACCGGCTTCGTTGTTCCTGTCGTTGTGTAAGACACCCAAGAGATTTGCCATGCTGTCGGATTCGTATTCTTGTTGATCCATCTCGACAGCTATCGGCTTACTTCAGTAATTTATGGCATAAGAGGAACGCTTTTTTTGTACTGAGTCCTGCTCACGCAGACTCTTGTGTAGCTAAAACGACTGATAAATAATATGGGCACATCTTGTTCCTGTTATGTTGTGCAGATAATGCAGAACTGCCAAGACCTCCTTTGCTATATTTAGCGATATTACAATGGCAAATATGGGATAATTCAGCCAACGATGACAAAGCTGAAATCTCCGCTAAGGGGACATGGTTGTACATTGTCGTCCGTATTTGCCTTATCATCGTTCGTTTGTTCCAATGAAGACGGAGTCAGAAGGGTCGTCGCAGTGCACACCCGTAGTATTTGCCGCGTGATAGCTCATCGTGAGAGTTATATCAGATGCGTATATAGCTGTTAATTGATGAATGATTCCGAACGTTTGATGAAACGTTGTGATGTTTCTTAGACAATTTAGGTGAGCCATATGACCGATTCTCTTCGTATATGAACGAGATTTTGCTTCCATTTATTCCCGTTTATGGCATTGAACGAAAAATAAACAATTTACCTAAAACGTACCCTTTTCTTTCGTGAGAAGTAAGTTACTTATTACTAAATTATATAACCTTAATTTTTTCAGTTTTTTCTCTGTATGTAGGACCCTCTCAGGTTCATGCTCATACAATCCTTGCAAACGAGTTATAACACACGCTTCTGCATGACGCATCGAACGATTTCACTTGCTTAATCATAAATAGATTATCAAATAACTACGCAAAATGTTTGCCATTGTTAGTAGCACTTAAATAATGTTTGAATATTATCGAGCGTTGGTTCTTGAGGTGATGGGTCATAAACGTGCTTTCTTACCTACCTTGTGTATACTGCAATAAAGTAGACAGCTGCACCCATTTCAGGCATTTTACTGCCATAATTTGTAGCAGCTCTATTGGTGTGTGAGGTAAAATACGAATGAGTTTGGAGATTTGTTTGATTCTGTCGCGGCGCCAGACTATAAGGGGTTCAATTGAGTAAATTATAGTATTGCGATGTAGTCGCGCAATCATTCACCATCGTATCTTCACCTTCAATAAACAACAGCGTGTGACAACTCGGACATCGTATAATAGGAGGAAAATATGTACAATTCTGGCAAAAGGATCATGTAATAATGACAAATAAATCACAAGCGGAATTTCGAAATAATCTTCATTTTAGTTTCGAAATTAGTTTCGGGCATCCTCAGATCTGTTTCAGTGCCTAGTTACGATCTGACTAAGAAAAAAAAAATGCGACGTGTGAGGTTTTTTTCTTATTGTTTTATTGTTGTTGGCATGGTTTAATTTGCAGCGACATACCTAAATGTTCCTCTAAATAAATGACCCTATCATTTAGTAGTTAAGTTTATATGTTACATTTCCATATTTTATATCCAGAAGTTGAGTTAGCATTGTAGCAAATGTAACGAAGGTGCTCACTATAAGATTCGTGCCTTCTCGTACTCAGAAATCATGGCGAAAACCATGATTTCGGCATGCTATTAAATCGTAGCACGAAACTTTTACAGATGTACCTTCAGCGTTGCAAGGTACAGCATTAAAAGCATTTACTGTCGTTTTGTGTACAATTTTGAGATCTTTTTTTTTTTTTGTCTCATTTATTACATTTATAAAAATGTTGACACATTTGTTAATTCATTCTACATTAGTTCTTTAAATCTCGATGTGATCCTTTGTTGTGTAAATTCATATCAAGCGTTCTCATGGAATACTGATTAAGCGGACGCCCAAACCCGAACGCATGACGAACGCGCGTTTACAATACGAGCCTTGTTACCTGCTCAGCCACCAGCAGAGCCGTTGAAACTCCATATTTATTTAACATAGCACATTGGTTCAGTAAAAGTCTAGAGAAGTAGTCATTGCAAGAGCAAAGCACTAAATATAATTCTAGAAACGATAACATTTTCCGTTTTTTTTTTTCAGTAAATACTTACTAATGATGCAGTAAATAATTAGTACATTCTATCGTTCTGCATCGTGTTTCATAGAATAACAACTTCCGACGGTGTAGTCGGCATAGTATTTTCGTGTTAGCGAATTTAGTACTTATTTTAAAAATGTAAGCCTCTCAAAAAAATCAAGGAATCGTACAACCCTGTGTGATACACTATCATGCACCTGCGTATTTGGTTGGTCGGAACAGCTGGAGACAGGATCGCAACTTCACAGTCCATTTTTTGTTGGGCGGGAAATATCAGTCTATGAAGGAGCAGGGTTTCCGTGTAAGTAACCTGCTTGGTAGCGAGTGCTTTGCGTAGTAAGAAAAATCTGTCGTTTTCAAGAAATTTTCACTAGTACTTAAACGATCGAATTGTCGCCGATTTAGCAGCAGCGTCCTACCAACGCAGGACGCTCAGACGTTGTGTTTGTGGGTTGCTGTACTTAAGCGATGAATGTTTCCATGCCCAACCAATGACCCTGAGGATAAAATGCAAAAAGTTGGGTGAAAGAAAGGTGGGAAATTGTGGGAAAATCTGAAAGACTCTGTTGTAGTTGAGCTAACAGCTAGTTTAGCGATAAAAAAAATCAAAGGCGGCCTAAAGCTTTATATGATGTGATGTATTAAGGTAAAAACATGGCAAAACTGTTCTCTATTCGCATGAAAGGGATGATCAGCTCTATTTGTTATGATTTTCTATAAGCCAAATTTTGTAGTAAAATAACCTAGTTTTTCGGGAAGCAGACAAAACGTACATAGGAGTTACCGTTTGCCTCACCTTGGCAGCGTATGTTCCACCGGATATGAGCTGCATTAAGACTGTGTGATCTGAGAGAGACGTATTGCTCAGGTAACGGCTCGAAGCCAACCAAGCTATTTACTCTGAGGTTATGAAGCGAACAAGCTTCGATGATCGAAATTCAAAAAGATGTGAATGTTAATGTATTTCTCTACGTTTGATAAAAAAATACTGCTGCGGGGGTATCTATTTTCCCGGAAACCACATTTGTGATTGGTGACTCAGTTAAAATCTAATAGGCGCTTTAAGTGCAGTGTTACAGCTTTTATGGGTAGTCTGCCCTTGTGCAAAACGAAGTTAATCGTATTCGATTCGATATAAGTGTGCAAATAGTTTATAGAAAGAAGACGCATCTGAACCTGCACAGAAAAATCTACCAAGTGATGCTTTATATGCCTTGAAACAAGGATAAATCGTTTTTTTGGCCTCTGATTGATACGGATATAGCATTGGGGAAACAGACGCTTGCTGAACTACCCCCTTTTAGCTTCGTTCCGGGTTTCTGGATCCTGGAATATCATTATTCTAGTTTCGGTGTGGCCTGCTATGTTTGTGGTCGTTCGCTGTCCGAGCTATGGATTAGGACAAGACAGCTGGCAGATGACAGGTGCAGTCAGCTGTGCGTTGGCGTTGATAGATTCCGATCATATACAGGGTTTGGTCGACGAAAAGCTTGAGGAAGGCCCAGTTTGCAAACGGTACGTCTGCATAGCATAGCTGACAGGCCTGACGAAAATCAACAATCGCCAAGGAGACGATAGAATAATATTGACGTAGACCGAATGATGGAGTTGGAAAATAGAGTTTCCCCCAACTGCTAGCTACCATAGCCTAAAGACTTAATTATCGTATGCCGCTCTGTACATTCGTTCACGATCGTTACCTAATTACCACACGAATGTCAATGCCACCTTCGATAGTGTGAGTATGTGGCATAGAACGAGTGAATGTTATGGCGACAAGCTACGAGAAGCTCGACATACGCTAACTAGAAAACTACGTTCCCCTCATTGACTAGCACGCGTGGCCATCAAAAGGAAAACAATCTGATAACTATTCCAGTCTCACTGGAGTCCTACACGTAGTATTAAACTTATCCAATCGATTGCTTTATGACGTTTTGCGTTCGCCTACGCGCTATTATACTGACGCTTCTGTTTTATCATTTGATAGAATGCCATTATAATTTACGCTCCGGAAACAATTGGTATTGTAGTTTAATTGAACTTAAAACAATTATCTTCCAACTCGGTGCGCCTCACGTAAAACGTTTTTCTATTGAATAGGGTTTGTGCGTATAGCTTTTAATGTGGACTTTATATCAGTTAGTTTTTATAGTTACATTCAAGCACTCTGGGGTTAGTTCGATATACAAACGAGAACAATACACACCAAAATTTAAATACGACCCAACCGGAGCCGTTAAAACCTCAAGGACCACCCTAGAAAAATACTATACCGCCTTCTCTCTGGATTGCTGGGATTCTAATTGTATGCTTATTACAAGCAACCGGTGATGACATCGTAGTAATGCGTTTGCCAATTCAACTTAAAGATACGTAATAATCTGGGTTGAAAACTAGCCACGGACACTATTTGATGTTGGGTAGCCTGTGCATGTCTCACGTGTTTGTGTCTAAGTGCACGTTCAAGCAGTCAATCATGTACGTACATACGAAAACTGAAATAATAGGGATATTTGGGGCGGAGGGGGGAGAGGGGTATGTATTTGTTTGCTAAAGCACTGACTGTTTGTGCGTTTCTCTGCTGCCGCAGTAATACGTGTTTATGCTGTCATTTCATTGTACAGACTCGTTTACTTGATGCTAGCATTTAATCAGGCCTCGTCATGTACATTATAGGCTTTCAGAGTCCGAATTCGGTTTCATTTCGTTGCAAGTCGTCGGCGTTCAGCTTCAAATACACAGACAAGCGAACAATATTCTTTACACAAAAGTGTGCTTGTGTAAAAATACTTTGTACAGTACGGTAAAGGATCAATCGTGTGTACAAACTGTGTGAGGAAGGTATCAAGTTCCTGGACACTTGACAATGTAAGTTCAATTCTATAGCAGTACTTTAATCCTGGCCATTGTCGATCAATTTTACTTAGGTCTCCTGCCGACCCTAACTTATATATTTTATTCTACAACACCACTCGATTTTTTTGAACATATAGTTAACCCAATATTTCGTGTGCTGTGTATACAATTAGATCGTAGTGTAGTCTTTTTCTGTACTATAAACATTTTATTTAAAAAGCGCTCGATCTTGTGTGGTTGAGGTAACTTCGAATATTGGACTCGTACTACCATATCAGTGCCAATTAAAATACATTATTCTTTCTGTTCACTGAATGATTGAAGCGCGTATACCTCGTTTACCTAATGGCGTACGATCGTATCCAGCGACTACTTGGGTAATCATCAAACAATCTACAGGTGCAACACACGTTTTGTCTACCATGTTTAAGGTATTCGTTATAGGCATATATTTCCCCTTGACTTACTAATAATATATAACCTAGAAACTCATAGTAACCCCTATCTCAAGTGTTTTACCCCGTACTCCGCTTTTTTTCCTTGTGTAAGTATACAACGTAAATGCGTACATCCGTTCTGATTTTATAGGACAATTATACTTGTCCACGGTTCCAAATTGCCTTCTGCCAACCAAAACCGCTATGGCAAGCCTATTTTTTTTCTAGTTAACTTTAATTCTATGCCGTATCAAGCACATATATCGATCGCGCCTAGTAGGTAGTGCACTGTATTTCATACAAGATATTATACAATATGAACGGACCAAATAACAGGTGCCATATCCAGAATGTTTTCTGACGCTAAGAGCGTACGATATGGTATGATTCTTGCTACTTCTAACCTTCGGTAAACATATCGATACTATTGTACATCGGTTTGTATTAAGCGATTTTATAGCTTAGAGTCAACATATAAATGCGCAGTTTTTATATATATATATATATATATCAATTTGTGTATTTGTCCTGCTCCGTCCTGCCCTGTGCAATCACTCCTCACATCAAAAGTGAGTTCGGTCAAAATTTTAGATGCCGCTGTCACCGTTAACAGCAATCTTAGCATCTTCCCGCCACTGGGGAAACACCATCGGTTGGTAACCCATAAAACGAATTCATCCGAACGAAGTCAAAACCTTACCACCTCCAGTAATAGCAGCGGTTATAGAATCGTCCAAGACTAGCGAACAGACCGACCGACAGACGAGCTGCTATCTGATATTGCTAATGCAGCACCAGTAGCAAACCCTTGTTGGGAACAGCGGTAGCACACGGTCGAGCAAACTGCGGTACGGGGGCATAGATCGAGTAAAATGAGAACGACAAGCGAGGCTTGGGCAGCAGCAGCAGTTCGAAGGAAGACTCAGAGGAGGCTCCAGCGCGGCCAGTTTGCGAAGATCTACACAGACCCCTCCTGTCCGTCGTTTGAAGTTCTGTTCCGGGTTTGCAGAGCTACAGTAAGCTGGCCAGGCTAGAACAACCCTACTCATGGCCAGCAAATACCTGGTCGCACATTTTTAAGCTTTGGTGTACTCTTTTTCTCTCTGACTCTTTTCTCGCTTGTTCTCTATCTATTCCAGAACGCAAATGAAAATAACGAATGGTGCAGTCAACCGCAAGCTGCATAGGTGGGCAGATGTACATCGGCTTTCGTAGAGCTACGTACCCAGGTAGGCGCCTAAATGAGCGGTTAGCCAACTAGGTGTGAAAGTGATGCTGCGGCTATCGGCTGCGTAAAAAGCCCTATAGGAAAACCTGGGAAAGGCTTGTTGGAAGGACGCCAACAAGCCAATGAAGCAAGTCACTTGTTTGTGTAGGAGACAGGCTGACCGGGACCAGCATCTATGTGTGTGCATGTAGGCGTGACAAAATGGGCATGTCTCTGCGTATGTGCGTGTGTATATGCCTGCAAGCCGTTGACCCCCCCCCCCCCCCAAAGTCTAAATCCCAGGCCCTTGTCGAAATCGCTGTAGACAAAATTTGGCTTCGGGCCCTAGGCGATGAAGGTGCCAGGCCAATGGTTTCTCAAGCAGTTGCAGAAAATAGCGGTAGTAGTAGTGTTGGGCCAGGGACGCGTCGGTGACAGGGTTGGAAAACCAAAACGAATGAAAATATGTAGCCTAGGAAGTGGCAGGATAAGGAAAGATTTACTACGGAAAGGGAGTGTAGTGTAACTGATTTAGACGTAGACCGAAAAGTGTAGCTGATTGAGAATATGCTGTGTCAATTGGCGGTAGGATTGAGAATGAGCACGCTGCAGACAGGATATAGCCGAAATGTAAGGGAACGTTGAGAACAATAAGATCGGGTGCAACGTTATGTTTCTGTCTTTATGGTGGCCTAACAGGAAGCCAAATTAGGTGACCGCACTAAAGGTCCGTAGTTCATTCGACATTAGGTCTTCTGGCACTGCCCTGGTACCTGAAAGCACAAAATGTCCCAGTCAGGAAGATTTCGGGTTCCAGGTGAACTTAAGTTGCAGGTGATAGCTCGTTGAACAGGTGAAGTCTAAAGCCTGTATGCGTACGTTGCGTATACTCGAGGCTTACAAGGGTACAGTTGTGCATTGTAATCAACTCAGAGCTTTCGCTAAATTCCAACATTAATTCGTCACTTTGAGAACTACTTAAAGACTACAACTCTTCCAACTGCAGAAACGATAACCGCTATTTCATCGCATCGTCAAAATCCATCTGAATTTCCACGACGTTCGGCTTGTCTTCGACGGGTGCTGTTCGGAAAAGGTTCTCCTATACCAAATTTCCATTCTACTGTTCTAAGTGTTTAGCTCTGCACTAATCGTACTCCTATTAGTAAGATGTTTTTAATTTAAGAAGCATTTTTTTTTTTACGTCATAGAAAACTGGATACGTTATGATGCTACACCATTTAATGTAATTAATGTTTTTTTTAGAAAATATTCTACGAATCAGCAATTATTTTTTTTTGGATCTAGGAAATAACGTGCTGTGATCCTCCATTATTATTTCCTTCCTATTTGATATAATAAATACTCTTATTCTATATATTATTTTAGACAGGATGTAATTCATGACATTTCTGTTTTGCTTTCATTTTCCTCATGTTGCCTATCCACATGCGAAAGGTAGTACATCTAAACCTCGAGATTATATAACTTGACACAATTTTTCAAAAATGCGGCGTCTTGACTGAAATCCACCAGTCAATTCAGCCTTGCTTGTCAGATGTTTCCCATCTCTCTGGCAAGTATAGCACACTATTGTAAATATGGGAACTTTTATAGAAACTGGTTGCTTTCGCTTCGATATAAAATAGCGTATTTTAGTCCCTCGTGTCCCTCGACATTTTAATCTATGGGCTGCAGCAGTAATATTCTTGGCGAGCTATACATTAGTGGCTTCATTCGAGCTTACAGCTATAGCCATCAAAGTCCCTCTGCCCCCCTCTACCTTCTTTCATGAGCCACATGTTGCTAGCACAGTCCTGCCTGTCTCTTTTCAAATGTCACCGTGCACGCTACTGTTCCCGTGTATATCGTTATTCGAGTAAGACATTTGACGACTCTGTTGGTGTACTCTTCTCTCGAAGACCCCGCGTGAATGACAATAGATCGCAACAGAAACAAACAAAACGCAGTCATTTGTGTTACTTTCGCTCACAACTATAAGAGATCGACGGCTCGTTTACCCTTCAGAACGGATCGTGGAACTGAGTGTCAGCTATGCTTGCGTATGATAACACTCCAAGGAGCAATTTTAAGTTCAATTCTGTTTTAGGAGCCATTGAGTCTACATTCAAACTGCTGAAGTAAACACTGTTTACACGGTACGGTGTATGGCTGCCCTCTGATCCCACTAGACAAGTCACAGCCTTATGGATGCATACTACCAAATTCTTTTCGCCGAAAAGACCCCATTCGGTTCGCCCAACCTTGGAGGCTGGCTTATAGTTTGACTCCAGATTTACGCCTCTGGGCCTACATTTTCGAGGATAAGAAAATTTATTGTTAAACCGTTATGGGCGGGACAGATCAGAAAAAAATGCTTAGAGTATACTTATCTCAAACAATGGTGAGTAGATGGGAAGCACGGCGATTTGTCTAATCGAATAGGTCTTACAGAGGTGGAATGAATAATTACTACCATTTTGTTTTGAGACTTCGGGTTGAAAGATTCTGTTGTAAACGATTTTGCGCTTCGACATCGTTTTTCTTTCGGGCGCCAGGCCCGAGCGACAACTCCTCCTCGCCTTCGGATTTTCGTCTGCCGTTAACAACGTTCAACGTACGTATATACAAATACAGCGACTAGAACAATCTCTTTTCCGGCTCCGATGGGGCGGATATGCCAGCGGATAATGAAAATGCCTCAGGGATAAGTTGCACTCCTCGCCCCCTCCGCTATGGAGATGCGTCCGAATAGGCAAAACCGTACAGCACAACTAACATAGGCGAAATGTGCAAGAAGAGAAAAAAAAATGCGAGGCTAACGGGCAGCACGGTAGAGCAATCTGATGCTAGAGAAAGCACGTCTTAATATTTATTCCACCCCGCTACAGGACCCTGAACCGGGACAGTTTGAGCTGCCTTCCGTCGTGCCACTACAAACTAAATTGCGCTGGCTTCCTTCGCCGCAGCATTCAGCCTACATCAGACTGTAGCAGGTGTCAGACAGCATCCACCAACCATCTATAGCTGACCTGTCGGGACAAGAAAGCAGGCTTAAGGCTAGCGGAACAATTGACCAACCAACAATATGTTGAGATCCGTGTCAGAATGCCCTTTCCTATCGTCCCGCTTACATTCGATTTGAGTCGATTCGGCTTTACTGTCCAGTTTGCATCCGTGAGGAGAGGCCTGTACTAGTTCGAGTAGTTCAGGAAAATCCGGGATGCAGTACAGAGTCCTGGCAGTCCTGGTTAAAAGCAGAAGTTGCTGGCCAGTTGCCCTCAGCTGTCCTTGGCGATGGTGGGAGGGAGAGCCGGGGGCAAATTTCGTAATTCGTGAGTCGGCCAGTTGCAGTGCAGAGCTGTTACGGTTGTTGATGGCTTCCCACAAGATCAATTTCTGCATGATCTTAGATACTAATATATTGCTGTCCGGGTGAAGAAATAAAGAGACAAGCGGAAATGACGCAGAATGCGAATGAACAGGTGGGAAGCAACGGCCAGAGCGAAGCGACTGTCGTGGAAATGGGCCAAGGTAAGGACGATAGTTAACAACGGGCTGCTGGTTAATTATGAGAGCGAACTTTACCGTTAACGAGACAGATTCGAACAACCGCAAAGGAAGGGGAAAGGAGAGAGGTGGAAAATAAAACAAAATAAAAGCGAAAGTAGGCCAGAACACACAATAAGAAATGTCATTAAAGGGCTGTTCTAGACTTGATTGGATTTTGAGCTCGATCACTGTGTTAGTGCATTCAGTCCGCTTCCTTCGCTCCTTACAGTCTAACTTTCTCCCTTGGACACATACGTCTATCGCCTATTGTGTACTTCAAGACAAAGGACAATGTAATATACTTCGAAATATAGCATACTGGTGTCAGGCTGCCAAGTAGATATCATTTTGTTATGTATTACTCCTTTGAATATACAATATTCATTGTCGTTCTTGAGAAATCTGCCGATAGAGATGAAAACCGAAGAGTGCACTGAGTGAAAGCATACCTCAATAACCCTGACCTTCGGCTCGTATTGAAGTTCTGGCAGCTTCAGTAAGCCTGGCGTTTTCTATTAAGTAGTCACTTGGCGTACAGCTGATTATTGCATCACTCATCAAAAAGTCTCTTTTTGGATCACTTACTGGGAGAATCAATTTCACGGCCTATAGGTTCTATATAATAAAGACATCTTTTGCTATCTATGAAAATTGCTTCAGTGCCTATTATAACTTACATCTAACGTCGACTGGTCCGTATAACATTTATCAACAGTAGAATACTTTATTACGGCCATAAACGAATATTTTATTGATTATAACTTTTCAGGCTGTGTACAGAACAACCCACAGGTGTTTCCTTTCTTTGTAAAGTAGGCGAGCAAAATTATAGAGACTCTTTCTTTTCTAGAATTTCTATCGGCGTTGTTCAGACATAGAGACAATTATGCCAACTATACCGGACTAGCCGGAACCTAACAACTATCAATTTCAAAAAATCTATTATCTCTGAGTCCAGTGAGAACGTTCTGATAAAAGATCTTTTTTCACGTTATTTAGTATTGAATATGCGCACTTTCTGACATTAAATGCTGCAGTCTATCTGAAGGAAACATGTTCCGGTAATGGACCGGTCTAACATAAGCAAACATTTGACAATTGGCAATAATGCTAAACGTCCAGTGTTTCCTTAAACATTATTCAGTGATTTTCTAAGCTCAGCGTTGACTATCCACATACTTTCACCTTAATTTATTAAAACCACGTCTAACAGGAACACTCAATGCCTAATGCGACAGAACGAGACTGATATGAATTTGTGCGCTTGTATGCATTTTTTTTTGTCTGGTGTAATCTACTAATCTAGTGTTATGTCTGGTGTCTGTAGTGTAATATACCGCAGCAACCTGATTAGAGTAGCAACTTCAGAGATCGGGCCAACAGAGATCAACCGAACGTAATTATTATAAATTGTATGCATTTAAGGTGTTACTTTGTAAGTTTTGTTGGCCTCTTTCATGATAGTAATTTGCCTTATCCGGGTTCCGGGCATTTTTTTCGCATACATCTGATCCTATACACGCAGTGTACGGTATCAATCGGATATCCATCGTCCATGGATTGTTTGTAGTACATCTTGCTTTTTAGTTACCCCCATAAAAAAGTCGAACATAGTCATGTCATATGATCTGTGGGGCCATTCGACGCCACCCCACCCCACTTGGAGATCAACCGCTCACCGAAATTATCTTCTAGGAACGCGC